ATTATATACCTGGCTCCCTGCTATGTNCTCTACTGAATGTGGACTACAAAATATTTGCATCAATAATGGCGGAAAGACTTAAAAAGTTTTAAAATGAATTTATGCAATCGGATCAAAATGGCTTCTTACCCAAAAGACAGATTAGAGACAATATGCGAATTATATTGAACGCATTAGAATATTATGAAACACACCCCGAGAAACAGATGGCATTGGTATTCGTGGACGCACAGAAGGCATTCGACAATGTGAACTGGCAATTCATGATAAGCCAATTACAGACTATGGATTTTGGGGAGAAATTTATAAATGTAATAAGAACAATTTATAATAAGCAATCAGCCAAAGTAATGATAAATGGAGATATGACTGAGAAGATCAACATTATGAAGGGAACAAGACAGGGATGTCCTCTATCTCCACTGTTGTTTGTTCTGACATTAGAAGTATTAAATAGATGTACAAGACAGAATAATGAGGGACTTCCGGTGGCGAGGCTTCGCCGAAGGAGGCTTCTTTCTTAGCCTCCCGCCTGGGACTGCGTCAAAGCTGTCAAAACAGTGCGGATCAGCTGTTTTGCGGCTCGGAACTTTCTCCCCGGGTGAAGGGGAGAAAGTGAGTTTGGTCTGGATAGGGATTGAGTTCCCTAGTCCCCCCCCAGGAATGATCCTGGGGGGATGAAGGTGATGAACTCCCCCGGGGTCCAGACCTCCCTCCGCAGCTCGGAGTGTCTTCGCTCCTCAGAGCGAAGCTAGACGTCGCCGCCACTGCTGCTACTTTGTATCTGCTTGTGAGTAACTTTTGAACAGACGGAACCAGACAGGGGATTTTTACTTTAGTTAAATTGTGACTTTAACTCAAAGATTTTACTGGGATTTTTGCTATTTGCTATAAGTGAAAGTGAGAAGAAAATTGCCGCGGAAGTGCTGCTTCTTTGTAACAAAAGGAAAACTTTCCCTTTTTTTCCAGTTGTGGGATGATACATTTTAAAGGACTTGGGCGTCGAGGGAGGAGTCCCTCTCGTAGACATCTGCCCACCAGGTTTCCGGGCATTTCACCAGCCGAGGACCCGGGGTAGGGGCGGGGGGGTAGCGATCATCATGAGGGAGAGCCTTTGCCCAAGGGAGACCACTGTGCCTCAGATAGACGGTGTGGAGTCCCTCCTTGTGAAATGGGGGCAAGGGGTTCAAGTGGGCTTGTTGATTATATACCTGGCTCCCTGCTATGTATCAACAGCCCTGCCTGAGCTGGCTGACGTGATAACCGGGGTGGCGGTTGGAACCCCCAGACTTATGGTCT